CGATTCCCAGCACCACAAATACTGCTTTGGAACCCATTTTTTTCACTCATTATATTCCTTCCAAGACTGTGCCCATTCAGAGCTCTAAATTCTACAAATTCCTCTAGACTACCCTAGTCCTGCTCTCAAAGAAGGGAGTCCTCTCAAGTGCTTTTCCATTTAGGCTTAACAACGCAGCTCTAGTGACTCTAACAGCTTCGCTATATGACTGAGTGCTGCCATCTACTGGCCACCATATTGATTTCAGTCCGCACACCTGTACTCCAAGCATTCATTTGATTCTGCTACCAACACTGCCAGTCAGGAAGAGAATGGTATTCAGGACTGTTAGGTTTTAAATAAGAGGTAGTCGAGTAAGAACCACACCATGCACACAAGTGGTAGTCAGGTAAGGGGTAGATTTATTCATCGTTCTGGCTGGCACCAAGCCATGTCAGCACTCCAAATGGCTGGGAAAGGCCTGGGAAAAGTGTCTGGCCCCGGGTTAGGCCTTATCTAGGGTAGGAGGGGGGGGAAGGGGGGAGTATGGCCACATAGAATCCAGATGTGACCTCAGCAGATGCAGATGTGACCTCTTCCAGGTGTGCCAGTTGCCTAGGTAATGCAGGTACTGGGTGGAGACTCGAGGAGCATGGAGTCTGTTCACCTTCCAGGAGCAGACCTTACAAGGACCACACATATTTTGTAAGGTAAATGAAAACCTGTTACCAGATAGGCCTTTTGTTTGGGGTTACCTTCACACTGAAGAGACTGAAATAATCTCTCCTACCAAGAAAGATGGTCTCCAATGTTTTATTTTAGCCAACCTGGTGAAACACATCAGGTAAAGGAGTCCACAGGAAAGGTGTACTTTTAAGTATAGACTTCCCTTCATGGGAACTTTTCAGACTGATTCTATTAGTTGTGTTATGGATAGGGCTAGTTTGAGAAAGGAGTACTCAAGAAAGCTGAATACAGAGCAGCACTTTATTGTCCCAGACATAGATTCTTTTCCCCCCCTAAACTATGAGGATTGTTATATTCCCCTTTCTACCAAAAAGTCTGCACATATCTTAAGTTCTTAATCTCCTATGCAACACAGGACTGGATCAATCAAGACTAAGTATAGAAAACACAGGTTTGCCACAGGTTGTTACCAGCTCTCTGAAGCATCAGGAATGATTCATTGGCAGTTCTCCCATAACTCCCCAAGAGTTTCATTATGACAAGACCCTTCTAACAAGCAGACCTGCTTAAGCTCTAGCATGCTTTCACTCACATAGATGTGTAGTTCTAGACAACTGACTGCTTGTCCACAAAAGGCTAGAATTGGTGTCAGATCTCCAAACTCGAGTTTATACCTTCTCCTACAAATACATCTTAACTTTAGTATTCCTAATTGTTGCAACTTGGCTAAGAAACCTCTCACAATGGCAGATGCCATTCATTTCCATTCATTCCCTAGTCCACAATTCATAAAGGAACATGGGGTCTTCTAGCAGACCTAAGCACTGAACAATACCTGCAATAGCCTAGGACTAACTTGCTTTCTTTCCTTTCCCCTACTAAATAAGGACCACAATTTTGCTACATCATTTCCTCAGTATCAAATGAACACCCTAAGGTCATTAGAAGGACACAGACATAAGACACATTCCTGAATTATAGTTCTTCATTCTACAAGATCTTACAAACCTCTGAAAAGACCACTAATACTGTTCTGAGATCAAGAGAGAGACCAAATGATGCTCCAAATGCTACCTGAAGACCCTACCTCCAATGTCAAGGCATTCCTCACTGGTGGGAGCAGACATAAAAATATGCTCTCAGGACTCATGTGTAGGGTGAAGTAATTCAGTGATACTTCTAGCTTTAGGGGCGGTGGGGGGGAGGATCAAATTCAATGGAGTACTAAATTTCCCTAGATGACACAGTATATTGACATCTGGCCATGGTCAATGGAGTGTCACCTATTCTGCACCCTTGATAAGTCAAGAGACTAAGGAGTCTTAGGAAGTGAATATGAATCTGATAAAGTACATGTACTTTATCGTGTCACGTACTAAGTCCCACTACAAGTACCTGAACGCTGACAACTGTATTGTTTCTTCCTGTTTACCAACATGCATGAGCCAATATGCAAGTAATGTGGCAGGGCTGGAAGCTACAGTGTACCTGAACACACAGAACATCAGTTTTCAGAGACCATATACTATTGCTGGAATACTAGATCTGTAATGAGATCTGAACCTCAGGCATGGAATTATTTCTCTTTAAAATTAATTCCTTATTCAAAAGGTTCTAGTTTGCATTTTGGACCATGCTACTTAAAATTAAAATACTACAGGAAGCAACCTACAACTTTAAGGTCTTAGGCAGAAAAATTTCCACCCAGAAAATTGCCATCACAGAAATCTCCAAACTGATTTTTAAAAGGAAACCCTATCTTCTAAAATGAAACTCTGGATACCAGGCAATACTTTATTGATCCAGATGTATATTCTCCACTTTCCATACTTTTACAAAGAAACAGATAAGGGCAAATGGTAGCACGGTTTCACTTAGCATCTAAGACCTATTCATCCTGCGTCTATATTCTTGCACATAACATACCAGTGAATCAGTTTGAGTCATTCTGTTATGGAATGTGAGCATGTGAATATATAAAGTCACGTCCATTCTAGAAGATCTAGCAAGACATTTTTAGGTGTAGGCATCTAATCCCCATACAGGTCTGTCTCTTTCTGCTTGCAAGATCTCATCTACTACAACTCCTGGGGCTTCTGAAAATCCTGTTCATGGATATAAAGACCTATAACCTTGACATTTCTAAAACTCAATCAAGATAGTTTCCAAAATGCAGATGCAGAGCCCTTAGACCTGGCCTTAAATGGCCCTGAGAGCCTGGTGGAACCTAAATCTCTAGTGAGCAAAACCAGAATTAGAAGAGGACCTTTAGGTTAGATGAAGAAGCCAGAGGTGCCAACAATAGCTGTGCAATAGAAAACAGACTAGAAGCCAAATTACAACCAATCAGCTGTCTATTTCCACAAACCCAAAGCCACTTAGGTCAGTTTACTACTGGCCAGTAAGGAAGAAAAGTAGACCACACCTTCTCTTTCCTTACCAGTCAACCTATAAGCCTGCATTCTGTGTTTCTTGGACAGTGAGCCCTTCTTCAGTATCAGTTTCATTTCTAGTCATTGGGAAGGCACAGACATCTTACTAATAGACTCTTATTTCAGAAAAGGAAATGCAGGATGGTCACACTAACTATGATATACACAAGTTCTGCCACATAATATCCTCCAGCAAGTATTCTTTTAAAATATCAGCACAGGGCTGGGTGCTGGTGGCTCATGCCTCTACTCCTAGCTACTTGGGAGGCTGAGCTTTGAGGATCATGGCTCAAAGCTAGCCTGAGCAGGAAAGTCCATGAGACTCTTGTCTCCAATTAACCACCTGAAAACCAGAAGTGACACTGTGGCTCAAGTAGTAGAGTGCTCACCTTGAGCTGAAGAGCTCAGGGACAATGTCCAGGCCCAGAGTTCAAGCCCACAATCAACAACAAAAAATATTATATATAATACATTATATATATATATATGTATACATATATACATATATATATATATATCAGCACAGCTGTCAGGAAGCAAAACATGCTGAACATTTGGAATGAATGTCCTATGTGCATTGAAAAGACACAGGTAGTAGAACACCCATATAGGAAGGTTACATTCCTTCAAATTTTCCTTTAGCCACAGAATACACTGTGTTCTGGGAAATAGAATACCACAGAGGCAAATTAAACAAAGCCCCTGTCACTGCAAATGTGAACACTTGTTATGTTGGCCTGTGGCTTTGGGACACAATCTGTGGCTTGTCATAGTGTTACAATTGTACAGACCAGGAAACACCAAGACCAATTTTAAGAGGGGATAAGGGAATTGATGACTGGCCATTTTCTGGATGGCTAGCAAATCCATGGTGGAATGAGCCTACAGCTATGCTACCAGCAGAGACTAACTGCTTCTTGCATCCTCTTCTGATCCTGAAGGCTCACCTCTAGAATTACTATGCATGCTTGTTTTTTGTTTTTGGGTTTTTTTTTGGGTCCGGTCATGGGGCCAGAACTCTGGGCCTGGGCACTGTCCCTCAGCTCTTCAGCTCAAGGCTAGCACTCTACCACTTGAACCACAGGGTCATTTCCGGCTTTTTTCTTTTTGCGTATGTGGTGCTGAGGAATTGAACTCAGGGCCTCATGCATGCAAAGCAAGCACTCTACCACTGAGCCATCTTCCCAGCCCGCATGCTTTTTTTTGAAAACTCACACTAATAAATATTAAGGTGCTGAAGAAGAAAACAGGAAAAAAAATGAAAAAAAAAAAAACTGGCCAGTGAAATACTAGCCAACCAAAATCAGCTACAAACACTGAGACATACCAGGCAAACAGGATTCATCCCAGGGATGCAGGCTTGTTCAATGTATGGGAATCCATAATTGCCACACATCAACCTAAAAAAACTAGAATCATGTGGGAGATGCAGAAAAGACTTTTCATAAGATCCAGCAAACTTTGATAATAAAGCTCTGGTGAAGCTCAAACTACAAGGAAACTTTCTCCACAAAGGAAAGTGTGTTTACATAAAGTGTCCAGAACAGATATTCAAAGGTAAAAACCTGAAGTCATTCCTTTGTAAACCAATAACCTGACAAGGATGTCCACTTTCTCCACTCCTATTCAACATAGGCGTTCCTTCCTTCATCCAACACTATACAGGCAAGGGAAGGACCAGGGAGAAGCAAACAGGAACAGGGAGGTAGGAGGAAGGGAGGAAGGAAGGAAGGAAGGATGAAGGGAAAGCAGAAGGAAACCCATCCTCATTTACATAGCACAGAATCCTATCTCTGGCAAAGAAAGTCAGACTCCACCCTGCCCCCAAGCTGTGGGATCTGATTATACATTTGAGGCTTTGTGGCTCATTGGAAAGAAGGTTTCCAGAGTTTCCAGGTGAAAGTTCCTGACAGGATGATGGAGGTTGTTTGCAACAACCGCCTGGGCAAGAAAGTCCGCATTAAGGGCAACACCGATGACACCATCGGGGACCTGAAAAAGCTCATCGCTGCCCAAACTGGCACCTGAGGAAACAAGATTGTTTTGAAGAAATAGTACACCATTTTCAAGCACCAGGTGTCTCTGGCTGACTATGAAATCCATGATGGCATGAGGCTGGAACTTTACTACCAGTAAAGAAAAGCTTCTTCCCATGTCCTCTTCCTGTCCCCAACCTGACCTCTCCCATTAATATGAATGCTTGTTTTGGAAAACTCACATGAAGAAAGATTTAGATGCTGATGAAGAAAACACCAAAACCGAAAAAGAAAAGAAAAAAACACCAAAAATCTTTGGTCACCTTGGTAGATACAGGTTAGTAGGTGACATGAAATCTATTGCTATGATTCTAATGTTTCCTGCAGAGCATATTTATAGTCATTGTCAGAGCTGTTTTGATTTTTTTTTTTTTTTTTTTGTCGGTCATGGAGCCTGAACTCTGGGCCTGGGCACTGTCCCTCAGCTCTTCAGCTCAAGGCTAGTGCTCTACCATTTGAACTACAGCGCCACTTCTGGCTTCTTCTGCTTATGTGGTGCTGAGGAATTAAACCCAAGGCCTCATGCATGCAAAGCAATCACTCTACCACTGAGCCACCTTCCCAGCCCCTGTTTTGATTTTTTATAACTATTGTTTTGCATAAAATATGTTATTTTAAATGTCATATTTAATGTTCTGTGGTTTGTATTAATATGTGAAATGTATTATACATCTGCTTAAAGAATATTTTAACCCACAAAATGCTGAACTTACATGAAAAAATATTTTAACCCACAAAATGCTGAACTTACATGAAAAAATATTTTAACCCACAAAATGCTGAACTTACATGAAAATATATTGATATGATTGTACATTAAAAAAAAACTTTGGCAAAGTACTAGGATATAAAATCAATCCACACACAGTAGCTCCATATTCACTAACAGAAAGAAGGTGGAACCTGAATTCAGGAGAGAAAGTTTATTTGCTGTACTCTTCCTTCCAAAAAATAAAAGACCTAGAAATCAAATTGTAATCTCCATACCTTTATCTGACTTAGAATTCATTGACAATTCCATCTACATTTTCATTATCTGCGTCTTTATATCACAGTGTGGGAACCATTTGAGTTTTCTCTTAACTACAGATTTCTAGGTATCTCCAGAATTCCAAAATCTGATCAGATTTCTGACCCCTCAGTATCTATCATGGTCAATACCTGTCTCCAAGTATACAAGTGCTCATGAACCCAGGAGCACTTCCATACAGGCATGAGATGCTGTCACTTAGTCAACTTGCACCTGATCCCTTTTTTATCCTGATTCTTGGTAATTTAGTCATAGGATTTATTTCTACAGGCTTTTCCACTTTGACATCTGACAGAAGGAACTGCATTGGTATCAATGACATCCTGAAGGTTTTCCAGTCAGACTTCACTGTTCTCTTCCCTGATGGAGTTTTATCTAGTATCCCTTGGGTAAACCTGATCTGAACTCTGCTGAATCCCCACATACTATTCTATATTCCACGTACAGTTTGTCCACATAATCCACATACACTCAATCCTGCAAAATTCTTATTCCTACTCCCTGGCAAAAGTGAATGCCTCTTGAATGCCATCAAGAGGCATTTTTTTTTCCTGAAGGAAAAAATATGGGTAATCAATTGATAGTATGAGCCTCAAGCAAGCTAGGACGTATCGTTATAAGAAGTTCAACCTTAAGAACAAAGTTGAAGCATGAGAACCTAGCAGACTTCAATATCAGCATTTTTAATGCCTGGCCAGAATTCAGAACCAGGAGTTTCGTGCTGTAATTCAAGATACATTTCATCTAGTATTGCATCAACCCTTAAATATCTTCAGTAGCATACATCCAAATTAGACATTAAGTTGAAGAGCTAAGTGATGTTTTTTACTCCAAAATAGCAAAGGGAGATGTTATATGGATCCTGTCATCATCATCCAACATCCTTTGGTGCTAGAGTGAGTACACCCTGTTTTATAATTTCTGCCCTTGCTTGATGAAAAGTTTTGTTATCCAGACAAGAATACACCATTCAAGAGATACAAAGTGGAATCCATATAATGTCTGGAGTTGTCATCTTGTCATTTATGCAATAAATCAATAAGGAAAGTCAATCTAATGGCAGATTTGATGTTAATTACCCTGATCATGAGCAATTACATTTCTATTACATAAGCGAGGGGTGTATCTAGCCATGCAGGACTTATAGAGTGTCCCAGAACCAAACAATGGCTGGAAGAGCAGCTTCAAAGTACGGTTATCCTAGCAATCGTGATCCAAAAAAAGCGATAGAACCAGGTGCTCAAAATCTGGATGAATCGATTTCATGGATATGGCCCAGTGGTAGAGTACTTAGGCTTGTGTCCTTAGTTTGATTCCCAGCACCAAAAGTACTGCTTTGGGACCCATCTTTCCTAACCCATTCTCTTCCTGTGAACACTGCCTCCATCCAGTGGTCTACACGCTACAAAGTCTTCTAGACCATTTTACTCATTCTCTTAAACCAGGAATTCTTCTCAAAAGCTTCCCCATTTATTCCAAGTCTTTCCATTTTCTAACACATGGGGCAGTGTCATTCTTTCTGATGGAAGCATAAGAATTCCATTGTGTGTGTGTGTGTACCACATTTTCCTTTTTTCAATATTTTTTATTGTAAAGGTATTGTACAGAAGGGTTACAGTTACATGAGTAAGGTAACGAGTACATTTCCTATTGAGCATTTTTATCCCCTCCTTTGTTTTTCCCCTACTATCCCTTCCCTCCATAAATCCCCAACTCCTCCCCCTGCCCCGAAGTTGTAAAGTTTGTTTTCAATGTAGGGTTTGTATGTCTCATTGTTACAAGGAGTCAATCTGTATCCTTGTTTCAGCAAATTAGCAAATATATATACAAGATGCAGGGTGCCGGAATCAAATACAGTGACAACAGGGGTTATACCACGGGGAAAGAACAGAAAAAGAAACAAAAAATATTACATAGTACATTTAAAACAACAGCGGCAAAGAAAAATCATATTTAGTAAATAAGACAGACCCAAAGAAATATAGGTCCCATGGCTTCCCTCATTTGCAATAATTAGTATAGGTCTAAGATAATTTTATCAGATGAGCAGAAAAGCTCAAAAGCTATGTACATATGACCACATAAGATGATGCTAAGTGAAATGAACCCCAAGATATGGACACACGAGGTCTTTCTTTGTTGTTGTTGTTTTTAATATACTGTCTGATTTTTTTTTCCTTTATATGTTCTCCCCCTATGGTATATCCTCTGTTGTCACTGTACTTGATTTTGGTACGCTGCATCTTGTATATACATTTGTCTAATTTGGGGAGGGGAGGGGAATAACAAGATGCTGAAACAAGGACTTAGGATGACCAATTACAACAAGGATACCCACAAGACAGTATATTGGAAATGAACTTTACAACTTGGGGGTGGGGGGAATGAGGGAAGTATGAGGAGTGAGGGAAGTGGGAGAGGGAAGGGATAGTGGGAGAACGAGGGAAGGGGTAACAATGCCTGACAACAAATGTACTTATTGCCTTACTCATGTAACTCTAACCCCTCTGGACGGCATCTTTACATTAAAATTTTTAAAAATTTAATAAAAGCTTCCCCCATTTAATCACAATGAAGCCCAAGTGACTCAGGAACAGCTTTGCTATTTGACTGAGTGCTGCCATCTGCTGGCCAATACATTAATCTCAGTCCCCACATGTCTACTCCAGCCATTCATTTTGATTCTGCCACCAACACTGTCAGTCAGGAAGAGAATGGTACTCAGGACTACCAGTATTTTGTAGGGTAAATAAAAAACAGCTAATAGTTAGGTACTTCAATTTTGGCCACTTTCATATTGCAGAGACAGAAATCATCTCTCTACTACCGAGAAAGATTACCTCCAATGCTCTATTTTGACTAATCTGGTCCAATAGAGCATATAAAGGAGTCTACAAAAAAAGTGTGCCTTTTAAACATAGACTTGCCTTTGCAAGAATTTTCCAGACTGATTTTCCTTAGTTGGGTTATGGATACAGCTCCTGCATTTGAGAAGCATGTGTTGTACAAGGAAGCTGAATACAGAGCAGCACATTATTGACCCACATATAGATTTTTCTGCCCCTGCAAACTAAAGAGAAATAGATTCTCCTATTTCTACCAAAAGGTCTACATCTCATATATCTGTCCTTAATCACCTATGCAACACAGGACTAGAGCAGTCCAAGCCTAAGATTAGAAAACACAGCTCTACCACAGGATAACATCAGTTCTCCATAGCATCAGGAATGTCTTACTGGAAGTTCTCCCCTATGCCAGGACCCTTCTAAAAATAAAGCAGACATGCTTAAGCTGCAGGGTGCTTCCACTCTCATAGATGTAGTGCCCAACAATTTGGCAGCCAATCCACAAAAGGCTAGAACAAGTAGAAGAAATATGATTTTCACCTTTTCCTACAAGTGCATCTTAACCTTAGTATTCCTCCTTGTCTCCTACTGGCCAAGAAACCAACCTGTCACACTGGCAGATGCCATTCACTCCATATTCACCAATTGTTGAAGGAATATAGGGTCTTCTAGCCAACCTAAGCATTACTGAGAAAATCCTGCAATAGCTCAGGACCAACTTGCTTTCTTTAATTCTTCCTAGTATATGAGAACCACACTTTTGCTTTATCATTTCCTCAATACAAATGATCATCTGAAGGCCATTGGAAGGAGAGACACATAAGACATAAGACATGTTCCTGAACTTCAGTCCTTAATTCCACAGGACCTTACAGGCCTCTGTAAAGACCACTAATACTGTTCTGAGATCAAACGTGAGATCAAATGTTGTCCAATGCTACCTGAAGACTCTACTTCCAAATTCCAGGGATTACTTCCTGGAGGAGGCAACCGTGAAAATATGCCCTCAGGGCTCATGTGTAGGATAAAGTAATTAACTAATAATTCTTGGAGACTCAAACTCAGCACCAAGCAAGTATGAGGCCTTGAGTTTAATTGCTAACATTATAAAATAAATGACTGGAGTATGGTGGTTCACCTTTGCGATCCATGCTCCTTGGAAAGAACAGATTGGAAGGACTGTGGTTCAAAGCAAACCCAGGCAAATATTCATGAGACCTTCTCAACCAATAAAAAACTGGGCATGAGTGGGAATGTGGCTAAGTGGTAGAGTGCTTGCCTAGCATGCATGAAGACCTGGGTCCAATTCCTCAGTACCACATAAACAGAAAAAGCCAGAAGTGGCGCTGTGGCTCAACTGGTACAGTGTGAGCTTTGAGCAAAAGAAGCTCAGGGACAGTGCTGAGGCCCTGAGTTCAAGCTCCAGGACTAGCAGGAAGAAGAAGCAGAGGAGAAGGAGGAGGAGGAGGAGGAGGGAAAGAAAGAAAGAAAGAAAGAAAGAGAGAGAGAGAGAGAGAGAGAGAGAGAAAGAAAGAAAGAAAGAAAGAAAGAAAGAAAGAAAGAAAGAAAGAAAGAAAGAAAGAAAGAAAGAAAGAAAGAAAGAAAGAAAGAAAGGCAGGTGAAAGAAAGAAAAGAAAAAAAATTGGGGTATAAGCCAGGAGCCACTGGCTCATACCTATGATTCTAGCTACTCAGAAAGCTGAGAACTGAGGATCATGGTTTGAAGCCAGCCTGGGTAGAAAAGTCCTGAGACTTTTTCTGCTCCAGGACACCAGTAGAGCCTTGTTGGGTCTTCGTCCGTCCCACGAAAGACGGACGGGGTCCGAGGAAAGGTAAGTGTGGCGCTCGCCGGTTCCCTAGCCTCCCTCAGCCCAGGAGACAATCAGACACAGCGGGGAGCCAAATCCAGAAGGTAGAAAAACTCGTTTATTAACAGAGAGCAGCCCCTTTTAAGGACAACAAGGGTGGGTGGTATGGTAAGGGAGGAAGAGGAACCAATCACTGTCAAGGTCACACCCTATCATTCACCTGAGCCTTCACGGGCTGGTTAGGCACTGATCAGAAGATCAATTGGGGTTTGCCCACTCAACCCCCTCCCAGAGCCATCTTGGCTGGCCTTGTGCTCTCCAGTAAATTAGGCTCTGCCCACTCAACCCCCTCCCAGCGCCATCTTTGCTGCCCATGTGCTCCACAGAGCCACTCTCCACTTCAGGCTTTAAAATTATTTTATTTTTTATTTGCCAATCCTGGGGCTTGAACTCAGGGCCTAGCCACTGTCCCTGAATTTTTTGTTCAAGGCTAGCACTCTACCATTGAGCCACAGCACCACTTCCAGCTTTTTCTGTGTATGTGGTACTGAGGAATCAAACCCAGGGTTTCATGAATGCTAGGGAAGCACTCTACCACTAAGCCACATTCCCAGCCCACTTTAGGCTTTTTGGGTGGTTAATTGGATATAAGCTTCACAGGAATTACTTTCCTCACTTGGCTTCGGAACACAATCCTCAGATCAGAGCTTTCAGAGTAGCTAGGATAACAGATAGGTGTAAATCACTAGTGTCTGGCTAATTTTTATTTATTTTATTTTTTTGTTCCAGTCATGGCACTTGAACTCAGGATCTGGGTGTTCTGGTGCTGTGCAAGGATTTATTTATTTGGTTTTTGTCAGTTGTGGGGCTTGAACTCTGGGCTTGGGCAATGTCCCTGCACTCTTCAGCTCAGGACAAGAACTCTACCACTTGAGCCACAGCACCACTTTTGGTTTTCTGGTGGTTAATTGGAGATGAGAGTCTCATGCACTTTCCTGACCTAGCTGACTTTGAACCGCGCTCCTCAGATCTCAGCCTCCTGAGTAGCTAGGATATAGGCGGGAGCCACCTGTGCCTGGCCATTTTATTATTTTTCCCTTAAAGTTAACATTCTACCACTTGAGCCACAGCTCCACTTCCAGCTCTTTGGAGATAAAGGGTCACAGGGACTTTCCTGCTGGGGCTAGTCTTGAACCATGATTCTAGATTTCAGCCTCCTTAGTAGTTACAATTACAGGCATGACGCACCAGCACCAGAACTTTTTATTATTTATTTATTTTTTTAATGCTCATACTGGGGCTTGATTCTAGGGCCTGAGTTTTTTCACTCATCTGGCATTCTACCACAGCTCCACTTCAGGCTTTTTTTGGGGTAGTTAGCTGGAAATAGGTTTCATAGGTATTTCTTCCCTGCTCTGTCTTCAAACCACAATCCTCAGATATCAGCTTCCTGAGTAACTAGGATTACAGATGTAAGCTATAGGCCCTAAGTTTGCAACTCCATTTTAGGAAAGTATCCAAGGCAGGCTAAGAAGGTATTTCAGTGAAAACATAATGAAATTCGTCATTCCTTGTCCTCCTCCACCCTGTGAATTACTATATGCCAAGCAGCCATTAAGCATGGTTAGTGTAAGGTTTGCACAAGGACACCTCCCTACCTCTTGGCTACGTTTCTGCCCAGTATCTGTTACCTAGGGAACTGGCAGACCTAGAAGCAGTCACCTTCCGCTCCTGCTAGGTCACAACCTGGGCCACCTCTGGTCACATGCCTCCCATCTGACCTTAGGAGGGTCCCAGACCCTGAGGTCACATCCAGATCCGGTGTGTCCACACCTTTCCCCCACCTGGCCACACCTCTTCCTGTCCCTGGCCTAGATAAGTCCCGACCCAGGGGTGGATGCCCATTCCTTTTTCAGCCATGCCTCTCCACCATGCACAGCCTAAATAGTAAGGTGTTCTCTTCATCGGCTATCCAATGAAACCTACCTATTTAATAAACCTTATAGTTACCTGCTTTAAGACATAGAAGTCAAGACCAGTCTCCAACATAACACTGCCCCACACCGCCACTACCATCTTTACCCCTGTAATCCCGGAGTAATTCCTTCACCAAAACAAGATTTTACCAGCTCAGCCACAGGTACTTAATTTTTTTTACAAAGTAAATACATTTACTTTTTAAATCTTTAAATAGTGGTACAAAGGGGTTTCAATTCAGCATGTCAATTCATGTGTATAGTGGATCTTTTTTTTGATACAAGTTCTCCCTGTGATCCTCCGGCCTCAGCCTCCTGAGTGCTGGGGTCACAAGCATGAGTCACTACCCATGATGCTGGCTCCTCTTAACCTTAGTTCTAATCTTTATTAGAATAGAATGAAACTTTATTCCGGATAACTTTTTTTCTTACAACTCCCAAGATGATTTCATATCCCCCATTGAAAATTAGAAGGCATTTCCCTGTAGAAGCTTAAAACCAACTAAGGGTAGTGATGGATGGAGACTTCAAAAGATTCTGCTTGGGGCTACCTTAGGCTTTGTTGGTTAGTGGCTGGTCTCAAGGACTTTTCTGCCCTTGCTGGCTTTGACTCGAGATCCTCAGATCTCAGCCTCGGGAGCAGCTAGAATTGCAGGCTCGAGCCAGCGCATTCAGAACACCTCTAGTCTGCACTTCGCAGGGAGTGAAGGCAAGCTTTTGTTGTTGGTTTATATGTGTGCGGCCCCGCCCCCTTAATGATCTCCAGGCCGGCGGATTGGGCGCCACTCCCTCCCTCCCACCTCCGTCCCGCCCACCCCCGCGCGCCCCGCGGGCCGCCCTACCCCTCCCCTGCGCCGAGGGGCGGGGCGCGCCTAGCTTCTTGCGCACAAGCAACGGAGGGGGCGTGGCCGCGAGCGCACGTGGGCGCTGGAGGGCGCGTGCCCGGCGGGCGTTGGTGGACCCGGGAGCCGGGATCCGGGAGCCGGTTGCGCTGCGCAGCGACTCCCCGCGTGGAGTCTGTCTGAGCCCCGCCAAGGCCGGGGCCTGAGACCCGAGTGGCGCCGGCGGTTGGCACCGGCAGGCCGGGGCGGCGGTTTGAGCGGACCGTCTTGTATGTCCTGGGCCTTAATGGCCCTTGACGGCCCGGGGCCTGACTTTTCTCCCCTCTCCCGAAACTCCAGCAACGAAGACGGAGCGGGAGCGGCGGCGCAGGCCCGAGCGCCGCCGGGAGCCGAGGACGGCGGGTGAGGCGCGCGCGGGGCCGGGGGCCGCGGGGAGGGGAGGGCGCGGAAGGACGCGGCGCGGGCCGCTGTCCGGGGCTGGTTTGCCGACGCAGCGGCTGCGGCGGGGGCTGCTGCGCCCGCGGGCCCGGGGGCTGGGCCGGGGGGCGCCGGCGCGGAGCGGCCCGTCTCCGGGACCCCTCCTCAGCCGAGGCCCGCCGCCGCCGCCGCCCGTGCGCGGGCCGCACGCCTCTCGCGATCGCGATCTCGGAGGCCGAGCGCGGAGCTGCTCGAGGTCCCGGTCCTGAGGCCGGCTCGTGATCCCGGGGGCTCGTGTGCTCGGCTGTTCTGTGTTTGGCACCTTCCCCTACTTTTCTTCTTCTGATTTGCAAGAGGACACCGAGTCTGGGAGGCAGCGCCTCTTCACCCGCGAGCTAACTTCGCTAAGACAAAACACCCAACTTGTTTTCAAGAAGGTGATCTCGTAATGGCTTCCTCCAGCCAGTAGGCCAAGAGGAACACAATGCCGAAAGTGCAGATTGCCCTGTGGAGCTTCAGTACCATGTAATTGCGGGTGTTAGGAAAAAATACGACTTTCACGTGTGACATTTGCATCATCAGTGGGTCTTTATTTTGCATTTTAAATTTGAGAGTTGAAATGTTTTTCGCAGTCGCTTTGTTCTTTTGGAGGTAGTTGAGTTGGTTGAGTTCTTAGAGATTTCCTTCCAGACTGCTTGCTTTACTTACTATAGACAAAGAATTGTTTGTGGATTCCTGGGCTTTCTGGTTCCTATCACTATTGAAGGGCAAGAATGGGAGGACTGTTTATTCCTCTGGTATTACAATTTTCTTATTAGTATAAAAAATAAAGATTGGCTCCCACACACTTGAAAAATATTTTGATTACTTGCAAAACAATGGTAGACCAACCTGAGAATTGAATTATGTCAAACAAGTGGTGAAAGGTTTTTTGTAGATGAGGATTTGTTTTGAGTGTTTTCAGTAAAGAGAATTGAGAATTAACATCTCTCTGTCAGTCATCTATCTAATTCTGGGGCATGAACTCAGGGCACTGTTCCTCAGCAGTTTTTGCTCAAGGCTGGCACACTTATTAGGTGAGTGCCATTCTGGCTTTTTGGTGGTTAATGAAGATCGCCCACGTGTGCATCTTTCCAGTTCTGGGTCTTTAAAGGATTGAGCATTGTTCCTGAGTTTCTTTTGTTCAAGGCTAGTGCTCTAGCCCTTAAGGTACATCTCTATTCCGTCCTTTTTGGTAGTTTAGTGGAGATGAGAGTCTCACAGACTTTACTGCCCAGAATGGCTTCAAATTGCCATCTTTATATCTCAGGTTCATGAGTAGCATTATAGGTGTGAGTCAGCAGCACCCAGCTTATATATTGCTTTTAAAATTATTATTATAATTATTATTGTTATTTATTTTTCCAATCCTGGGACTTGAACTCAGGGTGAGCCACTGTCCCTAAGCTTCTTTTGCTCAGGGCTAGCACTCTACCACTTGAGCCACAGTACCACTTCTGGCTTTTTCTGTTAATGTGGTAGTGAGGAATCGAACCCAAGGTTTCATGCATGCTAGGCAAGGACTCTACCACTAGGCCACATTCCCAGCCTTATATATTGCTTTTTAAGGCACAGTCGTGCTATATATATATAGCACACACTCCAGGCTAGCCTGGATGTTGATCATGCTTAACCTTGAGTACTGACATTAGAAGCCCTACACCATACACCACATGAATGTATCCAAGGTTTGTTGTTAGTAGTTAATGAGTATCATTGAATTTTAGAGATTATGTTCAAAAATGGTTGTTTTTGGTCATGAGGAGCCTGAATGATGCTTTGGTTTTCCACTTAGAGTTGTTTTTAACGGGTGCTCTTTTGTTTGGTCTTTATTCAGAATGCAATTATGGCTACCCAAGTGATGGGCCAGTCTTCTGGAGGAGGAGGTTTGTTCACCAACAGTGGCAACATGGGCATGGCCTTAACTAACAACATGTATGACTTGCATGACCTCTCCAAAGCTGAGCTGGCTGCCCCTCAGCTTATCCTGTTAGCCAATGTCATCTTAACTGGGGAAGTCAATGGCAACTGCTGTGATTATCTGGTTGGAGAAGAGAGACGGATGGTGGAATTGATGCCTGTTGGCGATAACAACTTTTCAGATAGTGATGGAGAAGGACTTGAGGAATCTGCTGTAATGAAAGGTGAAGCTGATGGGTTAGGAAGCATGGAACTGAGAAGTATGGAGCTTAGTGTTGCAGAACCACAGCCTGTCTTTGAGGCCTCATCAGCTGCCCCTGAAGTCTACAGTTCCTCCGCTAAAGATCTTCCTCCTGAAAGCTAAAGATCTTCCTCCTGAAACATCTGGAGCAGAGGACAAATGCAAGAACTCAAAGGACAAACCCTTTCTCTGTAAGCCTTGCCAGTGTGAAGCAGAATCTGAGAAGCAGTTTATGTATCATATCAGAGTTCACAGTGCCAAGAAGTTTTTGTGGAAGAAAGTGCAGAGAAGCCAAAGCCAGGGAATCTTGTTCTTCCACTTCGGAAGAGGGAGATTTCTCGAAGGGCCATTTGTTGTGACTGCTGTGGCTATAATACCAATCAATATGATCACTATACTGCACTCTTTAAGCATCACACTCAGACTGGGGATAATGAGCGTGTCTACAAGTGCATCATTTGTACTTACATGACAGTAAACGAGTACCACTGGAGGAAACACTAAAACCATTTCCTAGGAGAAGTGTACTTAATGTGGAAAATGCAGCTACTTTTCCGACAGAAAAATCAATTATATGCACCATGTTTGGACTCATACAGGTAAGGGATGCTTTTTAGCCCATTAAGTTCTTTTTCACTTCTAATTGCTGGTCAGCTTTCTTAAATAGTGCTTGAAAGAGTCTAGATTCCATTACTTGCTATTGTGGTGATATTGGACCTCCTTGTGCTCCATTTTCTTCATGGAGTAGTGAGAGTCCAAAAATAAGTTTAGCAGTAATTTCAGACATAACTATAAGGAAAACATTTGTCATCTGTTACTGGAAAGTAAGTGTTAGATCCTGCACCAAGGCAACATAACAGTAAGAATTATTAAGGGATCAGGCTGCCCTGGCCAGTCCAGGAATTTGGGCAGTCTCTTCCCCCAACTGTCCGGAAAACATTTAGGACAAGACATAATTCAGCATTCCTGTGGTTAGCTCCACTTACCCAACCAATGATGTATGATTTCACCTATCCTGTAACCGCTAAGCTAGAAAGTCCCTGCCCTTACTGGAGATGATCATACCCCTAACCAATGAGCTTGAGACATCCTTCCTCCCTCTACATACTCAATAAAAACCCTTCTGGACAAGGGATCGGGGCTCATAATTTCCAACCTGCTGCGTCAGGAAGGGTTGTGAGTCGGGTTCCAGTTGTAATAAAGGACTCTCGGGCATTTACATCGGCGACGGCTCCCTGGTGGTCTTTGAGGGAGGCTCTGCATCTTGGCACATCAGTAGAACATACATCTGTTTGGGGGATGCAATGAAGAAATGAAACATTGGGAGCACTGAATTATTTAAAAGAATAGCCACAAGAAGCCTGGCCTTGGTGGCTCACACCTGTGATCCTAGCTACTTAGCAGGCTGAGAATTGAGGTTTGAAGACAGCCTGGGCAGACAAATCTGAGAGACTCTCACCTAGAGTTAACCAGCTAAAGGTGTCACTTCAGGTGTGACTCAAGTGGTAGAGCATCACAGTACCAGCTCAGAAATAAGAACAGACACAGGGCATCTTTCTTTTCTGTCCTGGGGCTTAAACTCAGGATCTGAGAGCTATCCCTGATTTTTCTTTCCCTTCCCTTTCTCTTCCCTTTCCCTCCTTCCCTTCTTTTCTTCTGTCCCTCCCTCCCTCCCTCCCTCCCTCCCTTCCTCCCTTCCCTCCTTCCTTCCTTTATTTTTGCCTAAAGGCTAGGAGTCCACTACTTGAGCCACAGTTCTTTGGTAGTAAATGTCTCACAGACCTTTCATGCTGTTTCATGCCACATGTTAGCTCCTTAAGTATCCTGGATTACATGTATATGTCACCGGTGTCTGGCTAGTTCGTAAGACATCTTACTTGTGCACTTCCTCAAGTATGTACTGTAACATCTTGTGATAGTAGAGTTGCATGACCCTAACTTTGACTGCATTTAAGTTTGTGGATCTGTGTGACAATGACCATAGCTAACCTGTACTATAGTTTCCCAGTGGAATTGAGTGCTTAGACAGACAGGAAGCACAATGGTGAACCTTACATAGTGTATTTAATGGAGCCCTCAAACTTTAAAACTTGACTTGTGGCATAATCTCTAAGTGGAACAACTTATCTTTCTCATCAAACCATAGAAATGTGAGAAATTAGTTTGAAAAGATGAGTGGAATTACCACCAGCGAAGCCAGTTTCCTAAGAAAATACACTAAAACAATATGAAAAATTTGGAGTGCTTGGCTAGAAAATGTAAGACCCAGAGTTCAAACATCAGTTCTGCCAAAAACAAATAGCAAAAAACCCCTCCAAACAAGAAAAAATGATTAAAAATTTCAGACTGACCCAGAACAAAAGAGAAGACCCAAATACAATGATCAGGAATGAGAAGGACTATTTCCAAAATCCTACAGGGATTAAAAGGGTAAATAAGCAAAATAAGCTAATTGTCCTAGGTCAAGGATTCAGTTCCAGTGCGTGTGTTCCCATGCAGACTTCTGAGTATTATTCACTATCCACCATTTTCTTTCTCTCAAGTGGTAGAGCGCTAGCCTTGAGCTGAAGAGCTGAGGGACAGCGCCCAGGCCCAGAGTTCAGTCCCCACGACTGGACCCAAAAAAAAAAAAAAAAAAGAGTCTCAGGGATTTTCCTCCCTGGACTGGCTATGTGATCCTCAGATCTCAGCCTCCTGAGAAGCTACAATTGCAAGGTTTTATTTATTTATTTATTTGTTTGTTTGTTTGTTAGTGGCAGTCCTAGGCATTGATCTCAGGTTCTGGATGCTGTCCTGAGAGTTTGTGCTCAATGCTAGTGCTTTGCCACTTGAGCCAGAGCTCCAGTTCTGGCTTTTGGGAGATGAGAATTTCATGGACTTCCTTACCTTGACCGTCTTAGAATAATAAGCTCAGTCTGCTGAGTAGTTAGGATAACAGGTATGAGCCAATCATGCCTGAGCCAGGATTGTTTTTATTCTAAGTGTGCAGTCAATCTCCACCCTGATTATTATCCTAACAGTTATCCTTTTTCAAATTTTAATTATTTTAAATTTTGTTAAAGGTGATGTACAGTGGAATTACAATTATGTGAGTACGTACTCTTTTGTACAGTATCTTCCTTTCCCTTACTCTCTCCCAGTTCCTCATTCTATTCTCCACCATGAGTTGTATAGTGTATTAGTGTCCAATGAACTCCTCTACTGCACTTCTTCACTTGAGTTCCATACTCTTTCCCCTCTTCCTTCCAAAGATAATACATGTGAATACACCATATACATAAAGAAAATAAGACAGAACCATCAAAACATTAATTTTTTTTAAAAAGAGAGATCTCTTGTTTCCATGTCTTGAAGTTCATTTCAGTGTATATGCATATATATATATATATATATATGTATACATACACACACACACCCCTAATTTTATGTGAATATAAGAGGCACATAACAGTTATCCTTTATTCTCTTTTTTCTAACTAATGGGTTGCAAAAAGTTAATCATCTAACATTCCCTGAAGAGTTTACAGTTTTTCTTTTTTCCAGAGACGACTTCTTCAGCCAACTACCTGGCAAATTTAGAATAGGTTTTTGTATTTGTGGGTTTTTTTTGATAGGAAGATTGAACCCTGGGCTTATATTGCCCTTGAATTTTGCCTCATCCTTCTTTTCTCCCCTCTCCCAAATAGCTGGGAAGCTGGGCTTATAGATGTGTGCTAACACACCTATCTTAATTTAGAATAGTGTGTGTGTGTGTGTGTGTGTGTGCGCGCGAGTGTGCGTGTGTGCACGCGCGCGCGCCAGTCCTAGAGCTTGAACTCAGGGCTTAAAGGTGATATTTGCTCATCACTGGCACTCTATCAAATTTGAGCTCCAGTTCTATCCAGTTTTAATGCTGGTTAATTGGAGATAGAGTCCCCTGGCCTTTTCTGCCCAGACTAACTTCAGGCCTCCATCCTCAGAAGAGTAAGTAGGATTATAGGTGAGCCTCCCTTGCCTTGCTAGAATAGTTTTGACTTGACACAGATGAGTGTTTTAGTTATGTTGTGATATGAGCCAAGCTGGTCTCTCAATACCTGGTGTGATAGAGGAATTTTCCAGTTTTTGTGAGAGGGAAAGATACTTATTACATTTTTTTTTTGTGTGTTTCTAGCCACCCTGTTATTGGAAGTAAAGATTCTGAGTACACCTTGCTAGGACCTGGGGAGTGATCATGCATTGGAGGTCTTAGGGATCTAAGTTCATCTGTGAAGCAGAAAGAAAGGGTTAAAGGATACAGTAATATAGTAGTAGTAGTGGTGGTGGTGGTGGTGATTGGGTGCATATGGATGGATGAACTCTTCATTTGTGTTTTTCGTGTTAGTGTGGGGCCTTGAACTCAGGGTCTCACACTCTTCCCATTTCTCTTCATTTGCCTTTTTGGATCTCCCCTGCCCCATGGCAATGGAGCATGGCCTTGTTTGTGGAAGGTAGGTGTTCTGCGGCTTACAAATTTAGATTTGGAGAGGAGGAGGTATATTTTGATGACTACTAAACTGTGTTGTTATGGTAGAATGTACCAGTTTTCCACTAGGGCTAAAATACTTTCAATAATAAATTGAACCTTTGATTTAGGAACATTTTTAGGAGGAAAGGAAAATGGAGAGTGTGCTTGTTATTTATTTATTTTTTGCTTGAACTCTGGGTCTGGGTGCTGTCCCTGACTCCTTTTGCTCAAGGTTAGTGCTCTGCCATTTGAGCCACAGTGCCACTTCCACTTTTTTCTTTGATAATTGGAGAAAGAGTTTCATGGACTTTGGTGCCTGGGCTGGCTTTGCAGTCCTCAGATCTTAAGCCTTCTGCATAGTTAGGATGAAAGGTGTGAGCTACTGGTGCCTGGCTGCTTTTTTTTTTCTTTAAGTATAATTTTCTTGTTACTATTAAGATGTTGTACAGAGTGGTTACCATTTTACTATATCGGTAACGCATTTGTTTCTCTTTTAGACAATGTCATCCCTTCTGGATTTTCTTTGTTTTTTGGTTTGTTTTGTGCTGGTCCTGGGGCTTGGACTCCAGCACCGTCCTTGAGCTTTTCTGCTAAGACTAATACTCAACCACTGGAACCACAGCTCCACTTTGGCTTTTTGGTGGCTAATTGGAGATAATAGTCCTACACTTTTCTGCCTAGGCTGGCTTTCAGCCTCTTGATTAGCTGGCATTACAGGTGTGAGCCACTGGTGCCTGTTTCGTTTTTTTTCCCTTGGTGGTGGTGGTTTGTTTTGAGACAAAAATCTCTTTCTATGTTGCACAGACTGGACTAGAACCCAGTGCTTTTACCTCAGCCTCCCAATGCTGGGATTACACATGTATAAAATAACATACCTAGCTTCTTGGTGTGTTATTTCTTTTCATTTAATTCATTTATTTTGGCATATTTCTTTTTTTTTCTTATTAACATCAGTTAATAAGGGGAGTTCATTTTAGCAAGTTAGTGTATGTATATTCTGCATCTATTTTGTGTGTGTATGTGTGTGTGTGTGTGTGTGTGTTCATGCATGCGTGCATGCGCGCGCGTGTGCTAGTCCTGAGGCTTGAACTTAGGGCCTGAGTGCTGTCCCTTGAA